CCGGTAACATTACAAACCTCGCTCCACCAGCATGTGGTAAGAATTCACTTTAAAATATGTACTATATAATCAAAAGACTGGAAAATACCTCAAAATGTCAAATAAAACAGTTCAAAAAAAATATTTTCACCGATTTACAGACATTTCACTGCAAATCCTTTAATTGATTACCAGCCAACTTAAGAATTTTTGTAGTAAAATGTCTGTAAATTAGTAAAAACCAGTTTTTTTAAATCTGTTTCTTGGTGGAAGCTAATAAAGATTTGATTGTTTTAAAGGAGCTATTCAATTTGTATTATTTTATTTTTTAGGTATTTTCCTGTCTTTTGATTAATATATCTTTAAAGTCATTTACATTTTACAGAGGTTATAAAGATATCCTTCGTCCTAGGAGAATAGCCCAACCTTAACCTATGTTATAATATCATATTATTAGCTTGCATTTAAATCACACTTTCTTGCTATTTCATTTTTGGATCTAAACTATGCACATTTTACTATCATTTTTGCATGACGGAAATGGAGGATATGCAAAAGAGTAACACTTGTATAATTCTTCATTGGGTGCAATGTTCCCAGAACATAATTAATTATTAGTTATATTTCTGATCCAACTCAATGACATTATTTTATAGAATATCCTTTACCAACTGAACCATCACCAACTAACCTCCCAAGCACAACCAACTATGTCAGATTACCGACTTGTTTTGTCTTCTTCTGCACGCTGTTCTGTAAATCTGGTAACTATGCTGTCGATGAAAATGGGTGTCAGATATGTTCTTGCGCAATCCAGAGTGATTTAGGCCTACTGAATGAGACCTGTCCAGATGCAAGACGTCGGGCCATTAACGAGACGCTGGAAGAGTGGGAACTTGAAAATCCCTCACCACCATATCCGTGGATACCTGAGTGTTATTCTGAATTCTATACAATGATACAAGAAAATCATTTAGCAGGGTATGTTATTAAGCAATTAAGTTGTTTAGCATTTGAATGGTATAGAAAGTACGAAGCTGTAGTATTAACGAAAATGATATTAATAATAAGAATACATAACAAGTGAATCAGAATCCTAACAGAAAATACCTACATTAGATTTTTAGAGCGTTTTTACAATTTTATTAAAATACAATACCAGAATGTATCAGAACATCGGTGTATCAGAACATCGGTATCGGTACCCATTTGCGATGGGTGTCAGCTTCAGTGACAATAAATAGGTGATACACATCTAGTTTAAGCCTATTTTCCACAGGCGAATTTATTCGCGCGAATCAAAGCGTCGGTTCGCTTCCTGAGTTGTCATTGGTTGCGCATATTTTCGCTTCGCAAAAACTCCGATAGGAATCTGAATGCACATGCGCATGAACCGACGCTTTCGATCGCGCGAATAAATTCGCCTAGTGGAAACAGGCTCATACGACGCCAGTCACTCAGCGTCATTCCTAGCCCCGATTCCTATTGGAGATCGGCGGATTAATGAGGATGACGTTTAAAAAATAATTTGAATATCATCGAGATGCCTTATCTTGTATATCTTTATTATTTACTACCGATTATTATTAGTCCAATATTTCCATTGAAGTCTCCAAAATAGGTTTTTGTAATAGGCCGATATTAATAATAATAATAATAGTGTAGTTTTATATAGCACACATATCCATTTAATGTAAGATGCTCAGGGCGCTTGATATGTGGACTAGAAACTCGATCAATAACTTTCTTCGCCCCCTAAGGGTCCCTTCGTGTCTGTGCTACCAGGTAACCCGGTACCAGCAACTCTCGTCGTCCACTACAGGGGCTGTCTGTTCAGTACACCGGGATACCCCCCTACTCATCTCGAAGGAGGGTTCTTTTTAGTCCTTATCCGTGAAGACTTGTTCTACCACCAGAACCATAGGCGAGCGTGCCGTTCGAACCAGCTCCGATAATTATGGCTATAGCTTGCGGCGTCCCTGCTAACCGCTCGGCCATTCGACTCACACAACACATTAACACACAACATATGTAATTTATGTATTAGACCTAGTTTAATTTGCTTATCGTCCTCGTGTTATACAGTTATTTCTGCGTGGACCAAGTAACTGGGAAACCGAATGGAAAAGAAATGAATGGTTGTGGTGAGTTATGAGTAATTAATGTGAACAAGTAGGCCTATATGGTGGGAGAGTCCATCTTTATAAGAATGTTATTAATCATAATTAATTTAGTTTATTAATTAGCTTATCTCAACCCATCAAACAGTTGCTTAGAAAATGTTACTTATTTTGTAATTAGACACTTATAAAAACTGCGTTTACGACAGAACGATGGGATTGTCAAAGGCGCTTCGAAAAGCTGGTTACAAGAAATCTTCTAAACAGGTGAAAGCTCTTCTTAGTGGTCCTAACGCAAACGATGTTGGTGCCATATGGAATTTATTGAACAAAGATGAGCGTGAAAATACCTTTACAAAAACTGAAATATTTGTCCCAAGATGTAACGCATATGGCGATTTCCAGGCATTGCAATGTAACTACGGAACGGGAAATTGTTGGTGTGTCGATATATTCGGCGCTGAAATCGAAGGGAGCAGACGGTCTATCAGACAACCAGTTCCTGATTGCACGCAGTATACAAGGCGAAGTAGGTGTTGACTTAATATTGACATACAGTAGAACCCCCTATTTGTGTCACCCCTATTAAGGGGACACCCCTATTAAAAGGACACCTTTTTGGTCACAAAATGAGGGAATTTACCGTTCTTTTAAAACTACGGTTAACTCTTATTAGAGTAGAACCTAATATTAATGGAACTTTTTGTGGTTCCGAAGGTATCCCCTTAATATGGGTTCTACTATTTGAGGCCTAATTATCTTGTTATTGTTGTATAACGATGCAAATAGGTGCCTGAAATCCCACCCATGTTAAACCATCATGTCGCATTTTTGTTGTTGTTATTGTTCTCTAGGTGATCCTGGTCCGAGTTATATGGATGACATGTATGACTTTTCATTTGAACTCAATGACGAGTTTGGTATTTATTCTACCTTTGAGAATTACCGGTACCCTAGTTCCTCCGATATATATTACTTCTGGACTAAAGATGGGGTACCCGTACCGACAATATTATTCGAGGATAAATACTCTGTTGACACGTGGTCGAGAGTCGACGGGCAGCTTACGATTGGCCTTAGTATATACAACGCAACTGAAAAGGATCAAGGCTCATACAGATGTAACCTAGTAAAATCATCTAGCGATTACTTTTTGACATCGCCTCCATCTAAGGCCGAATGTGAGTAAAGTTCAAAATATATATAGTACCGTAAAATAAGGCATCCAATCAGTTAGAATAAAGTAACTTAAAATCTGTAGTTATCATTTCTTTAACTAGTTTTATACATTTCATGGGATACATTTTATGTTTTAATGTTTTTTAGTCTATAGCGTTGATACATCATTCACAGACGACGACTACTACTACAGTACCAGACCTCAATGTAACATAACAACTTGCGATAAGGTGTGCGCATACGGATATAAACACAAAGGGGCTTGCATACTATGCGAATGTTTTACGAGAGGAGGTATGATCTTTTTTTTAGGTTCAAGGGCATTTCGTTTTATGGAAAGGAGCATTGTTTAGTCGATTGATTGATTGATTGATTGATTGATTGATTGATTGATTGATTGATTGATTGGTTGGTTGGTTGGTAGGTTGGTTGATCGATTGATTGATTGATTGATTGATTGATTGATTGATTGATTGTTTGATTGGCTGACTGACTTAATGACTGACTAATTGCTTATTTACTGATTTGATTGGATGCTTGAGTATTTATTGCTTATTGACTGATTGGTTGATTTATTGATTAATTGATTGGTTGGTTGATTAATAAGTTGATTGACTAATCTACTAATTATGGACATTGTATACACTTCTTTTCAGTTGAATTTTTATTTTATTTTCTCATTCTTAGATATAAATTCTTCCATAAATATGGAACGCATGCGAGTTGAGATCGTTTCTTCATTTGGAACAAACAACGGAAGGTAAAACAATATTTGTTTGGAGACAGTATATATATATTGGCTACGGGCATGATGCCTACGACGGGATTATACAAATAAATTAGCGATAATAACAACAATGACAGTTTAGTCGGTTCATTTAGGTAACAAATAAAAGATATCACCAGGCTAGAGTAGTGATTACGTTGGTGTGATGTATTTCAGATCAGAGCCATAGGCCTAATGTAAGGAACACGTGATATTTCTTTTGTAGACCATCGATATTCAAATGTACAACTGGCAATGGACCTTTCTGCTATTAGGCCCCTCCCCTTGGATATTGTTGCTAAGGTCCCACAAGATGGCAGTGTGTTAAAATCATAGAGATATAATAAAACAAAAGATCTTATAAACACAAGATAGCGTTCTCCGCGATTTACGCGTAAAAAATAGAAGCGTCGATTTGGCACAGAAAAGTAATCAGTTTTGGGAGAGGGCGCCCTAGTCGTTGCCATGGATCTGAGATAGGGTGTTCGCTAAAGAGAGGGCTGTAAATTGAACGCTTCTATTACGCGTAACTGTAAAGTCGCGCGGCGTACGCTATGGTCAGAGCGGTTAAGGGTCAAAAGTTTCCAATTTAGCAAGAGGGCGCTTTTCATGCCTTATTACAGAATTTTCACGCGTAAATCGCGGAGAACGCTATCTTGTGTTTATAAGATCTTTGGTTAAAACATACGCGACCACGTGCGTCTGTGGGACAATACGTACGTGTGTTTGTAAAACCCGCATTTGTTAAGTTTTATTGACACTCCGCAAAGGTTTATTATCTTGTAGATGTGAGGCCAAACGACAATGGATCTATAAGAATATTAGAAGAATGAATTTAACAGCCAGTCCGGAGGCTTTCCAGATTCTTGATATCCCACCAGAGTGCGACTCCAACGGAAATTTTGCCATAATACAAAATATCACGTCAATAGGGTAAGTTGTAAGGACAATAAATGTTTTGGCAATAAAGATTAAAAGTTACTAAATCAAAGAAGGAAAGAAGAGACTCCAAGTTAAAAATAAGCAAATAATCATCAGAAGCTTGGAATTTGAAATCAAGCAACAAAGCTACAGTTGGAATAAAAAAATTTGAACTATTACTATTTGTTAGGTCTGCCTAACGCTTTTGGCGAAATAAATGAAATGAACATCGAGGACACTTTAAAAAAAGTAATAACAATGGTACACTGGCCAATTCAACAGCACTATATTAAAATCACTAGAAACTAGGGCAGGAGTAGGAGCGTGTGCACAGAGTGTAAGGTGTTGGACTTGTGATCGTAAAATCAGGAGTTCAAGACGCTCGTCGCTTTGCTTGTGTCCTTGGGCACGTTTGCCTATTTCTACCCAAGAGCAATGGAGGCTCTAGAATACTGGGAGAGGATAAGTATTTATGGGTGTATCTATATAGTGCGCTGTGTTATCTGTGGGCCGAAGGGTATGGGAGGAGGATGCCCCCCCCCCCACACTCCTCCCATAACAAGATTTTTTTTAAAAATTGGAACTTTTAGATGGCCGGAAATGACTGCGATGGGAAAACTTTTAGATGGCCGGAAATGACTGCGATGGGAAAACTAGGCCTATTTTTTGTTTTCTTTTGGTCCGACTGCCCGACGAGCTTTAGCAGATGGGAGGGGGGAGAGCTTGACCAAACCGATGGTTGTGCTTAAGCCCCTCCCCCCCCCCCTTCGCTGGCGCCGCCACTGCCCAAGAGTATAAATGGGTACCTGGTAGCATGATGTGGCAATTGCAAGTATTAATCTGTATCGGCATTAAATCGCACGCAGGGGTAGCGCCAGCGGGGGGGGGGATTCATATTTATCAAACTAAAAATCAGCTTAAATTCGTCTTAAGTCCCTTTTTTTGCTTAAGTCAAATTTATCAATATTACTTAGCTTAAAAATTGCTTAAAATTAGGAAGTCAATTGTACGGAAGCGCCATCCAAGACAATTTTTAAGCCAAGATTTTGCTAAAGGTGTAATAAATTAGCTTTAAAGATATATATTAGGGATATCTTAACTTTTTTGACTTAAGACATTTGCTAAGCTGAGATTGATAAATCCCGAGCCTGCCCCCCCCCCTCCCCCGTCAGGGAGAGCTGAGAGCTATTATTATTTATATTATTATTATTAGACCTATTGTTGTTATTATTATTAGACCATTTTGTATAAAATCTAGATTTACATTAACTTGCAGGCGAGTGTGTGTTGACGACATGAATGGCCAACCAACAGGACGAATGCTACCAGATTGTAGTAAGAATCAATATAATTGGATATTGTTAATATAATTTCAAAGCACTCATTTGTCAATTCTAAAAGTTTTTCAGTTATGAGCATATACTTGTAAAGTAGATGTATGAAAATATGGAAAATGTAATTGTGATTGTCATTCTTTTTTCAGAAACACTCAGTCAGTGCTCCAAAGACGAAATACGTGGTATGGAGTCGCAACTGAATTTTTTTTTGGATGATCCAGCGACTACAGAAGATTTCATCGCGGATATACGCCAGGTCAACAGTTTGCAACAAAAACAGATTATATACTTCGACAGCCTTATTGATGCACCCACATCGCTTGGAGGCAGAGACAGAAGAGGCCTACTTCCTGTTTTAATGTGTGAGCCGAAAACTGGCATGTATTATGGACGACTACATAACTTCGAAGAATCTCCCGAATTTTGGTGTGTTGATATTTATGGAAACGAAATAGAAGGAACGCGAGCCGGAGTGAATGGAACCATGAATTTCTGTGACGACATAAGCCGTCGTAAGTATAATTGGTAAATCCTATAAAAATTACGGTGTAATAATTTACTAAAACTTAATGCGAAATAAACAAAAATAGTAAATAAGAATTAACTAGAGAGCTGAGTTGTTATCTTAAGTAAGAGTGCTTACTAGCAAAGACAATGCTAAGTATAGATAAACAATAAGAAATGAGAAAGCAGATTATAATGGCTGTTCCCACGATATGCTGCCTGTGAGGGGATGGCTTCTAAACAAACAAGAAATAGGATATAAGCAGGAAATGGAAAGTTATAAATAGGTAAAATAAAGCATTATATATGGATAACAATATGGAACAGAAATATAAAATATGACACCCCATCCCCTCCATTTTGAATAACTGGATCCGCCAATGATATTGCATCTTTATAAGACCTCAAATTACGGTATAAAAAATGTCTGAGTGCGAGGGAGAACCGCTCCTAGACCCCTAGTTATACCCCTCCCCTAGTTAGACCCCCTCCCGGGGCCCTAGGCCTGTCTCTTATACACATCTTCAACGCTTTTCTTGTTGTGTCGTTGACAAAGACTAGGGCCTACAGGAGTAGTCGAAATATTCATTTCAATAAATTTCAGTGTTTTAAAGTTAACATTTTCTGACATGTTATCGATGAGCTTTATAGGCCTCCCCATGTTTTTTTTTTCCATCCAAAGCCTAACACCACTTCATAATGCTTAAAATATGAATGTATTTAGTCTTTTATATCTCTAACTGATAGGTAAACTATCTTCCATTTTTAATGATGAGAATGATGTTGACGATGACGATGACGGTAAAGAAAACGATAGCGATGATGATAATGATAATGGTGATGCTAAAAGATATTTAATAATAATAATAATAATAATAATAATAATGATGATGATGATGGATGATGATGATGGATGATGGATGATGGATGATGATGATGATGATGATGATGATGATGATGATTATGATGATTATGATAATGATTATGATTATGATTATGATTATGATAATGATTATGATAATGATTATGATAATGATTATGATAATGATTATGATAATGATTATGATAATGATTATGATAATGATTATGATAATGATTATGATAATGATTATGATAATGATAATGATAATGATTATGATGATGATTATGATGGTGACGATGTTGATAATAATAACGATCAACAAATTAAAGGCCATATCCTGTAAAGTTTTACTCTTTAATCATTAGTTTTTCTCTCTAAATTTCAGACAAAGAACCTGAAACACAATTGCATCCAACAGAAGACGATACTGCCCTAGTGTCCAAGATCAACAGCACGATAGAACTGCCGTGTAACATAACGGCAGCATCAATTGATGCTTTCGTCACGTGGGAAACGCCAAAGGGATACCTGGAACAAATTTCTCTAGTCGACAAACGTGTACGAATAATAGGAGACGGTATCACTGACTTTACGTTGCGCATTAATAACCTAAGTTACAGTGATCAAGGATGGTATACGTGCGTCCTTTCTAATTACCTGTCCGGCAATGGTGGAAGACACTCTTACATCGTCTCAATTACGTATTAGACATAGCTCTAAACCTGGGCGGCTATAGAACGGTCCTAAGTGCGACCGTTTAACCAAGGACTTCAAGACTATACTGTATGTGTCCGGTTTAAGAACTTTCTATAAGCAATGGTTCTCTGCATCGAGGAATCATACTGTTTAAAACAGTACATTGGAGCGATCTTAGAAATAAATATGCATCTAATTTAGAAGTCAACAAGTATATGTTGTAATTATATTTACTTTGTAGTGTCCCTTTCACACTTGTTCATTCTGGTGCCAATCATTTCTTGTTCAGTGACGTAACGCTGATGGGCTCTCATGGGCGCGACAGTCCAAAGGGGCACGGAGGCATTATTTTCCCCCATACATTTCGGCAGAAATTATAGAGGGCACTATTTAAGGTCATTCCGGTGAACTGATAACATAAATAATGCATGATGCTTGACACTTTTTCTGGCGAGTCGCGAAAGTGGTGTTTGCTGATTGTGGGGAAAAAAATAATGCGGCCCGCGGCCCATATTTGCGGAACGCTGGTCTAGACCCTCCATCTGAAAGTATCCCTCCCTGCCCCCATCCCCTCCATTTTGAATAACTGGATCCGCCAATGATATTGCATCTTTATAAGACCTCAAATTACGGTATAAAAAATGTCTGAGTGCGAGGGAGAACCGCTCCTAGACCCCTAGTTATACCCCTCCCCTAGTTAGACCCCCTCCCGGGGCCCTAGGCGTCCCCTCTTCTCCAGCCATTTTGGTCCACTCTCTACAAATTCGCACCCACCCAATATAAATCCTCGTACAGGCCAGTGCATATTCCTCTTCTTCAACGTTCAAGATTCAAGTTGCCAGCTATTATTTCCAAGCATAGAGGTGCCATAGGCCTATTTTTTCTCCAAAATTTGCTCACCTGTGGGTATCTATCCCCCGCTAACAGTATCTATCCAGGAGAGCGAGATGATACTGTGGTCTAAGGGAAATGATTCATCGTGTTCACTTATTTAGCTCCGGATATAAATTATTTTACTGCCAGAGAGGGAGTGCCTCTTTCGCTAACCCTGTACTACTGCCACGACGACAGGGGAAATCATGCAAATGGTAAGGCAAAGTACCTCCGACGGCAGGGATAGATCCACCTTGCGCCTCTCTTCTCCGTTGGGTCGACCAAGGGGTGACTCTAGTATGTGTCCCACCCACTTTGCCACTAAATTTTATAAATTTCAATGCCTATCAACATTATGTATTGAAATAAGCGCTATATACCAACTATATACTAATGTTTTGCCCACATCTTCCCCCCCCCCCCCCCGTTTGAAAAATTCTGGATCCGCCGCCAGCTATTATTTCCAAGCATAGAGGTGCCATAGGCCTATTTTTTCTCCAAAATTTGCTCACCTGTGGGTATCTATCCCCCGCTAACAGTATCTATCCAGGAGAGCGAGATGATACTGTGGTCTAAGGGAGATGATTCATCGTGTTCACTTATTTAGCTCCGGATATAAATTATTTTACTGCCAGAGAGGGAGTGCCTCTTTCGCTAACCCTGTACTACTGCCACTGCTAAGTCTTCTGGGTGGTTCCAGAATTTGCACAACAGGTGATCCGAGGTCCCCCCTCCCACCCAACCCTGAGTGGGAAAAATATTTCGAATATTTTCCAGTGGGCGAAGCCCCCGACAATCTTGACAATTTAGGGATTTCAAAAGTTTTATTCAATCGATTTTACTATTGCGTGAAGTAGTACGGTATACAATCTATTTCTAGAACGTTATTAAAGCAGTAAAGGCAAATGAGTGAAGGTTAAAATCGTAAATAGAACATTCGATGATCACCGTACCACTGTAAAAATCATTAAACTATATTTACTACTTTTTTAATTGTCTAGGGAAAATCGCCAAGTGTCACAGTTACTCCTATTAAAGTTTTACCGAAGGTTATCTTAACCGTTCGCGTGATCAGTATTCTTTAAAAACCTTCCTGTGGTCACAATGATATCTTTTTATTCTGCTTATGCCGTTAAAAGGGTATTTTGAATGTCTACATTTACGGAACCTGTTGCAAACAAAAATTAGGCTAGTCCCAAGTATACAATCAACAAGATATGCCTACTTAATTAATATATTTATTAATATAATCTTATCTTATTTGAAAATTTGCTGAGCCCAAATTGAAAAGCGCTAGGTACCGTAGTTTATATCAAATACATCAGTCAAATGTCTTTAACATACGTCTTTGTTACATACTGACGTTACCCTCATTCGTCTCGATTTATTTTATTTTTTCCATTCCTTCTATTAAAGGAGGGGAAAATATGTTGTACAACTGATAAAGACACAAATATGGTGTTTGACGAACAGCTCGGAAACAGTTAATGAGATACAGATTTTTGAATATTTAAACATTGGGGGGAAAGGTGGAAAACGGGTGGAACGTCCCTTTCCCCAATTCAAAAATTAGTACCTAACCGTTTCCGATTTTTCCCCCCCCCCCCCCCGTCAAAAACCATTTTTGTGTCACTAGAAAATCAGTGGCGGATTTAGATGTTATTTTTGGTTGTCTTTAAAAGGGTAGTATTATTTCGATCGGCCCTGCCTTTGCTCCCCCACCCCCTTTCGGAATCTCTGAATCCACCCCTCCATATCAACAATTTTTCTTTCGAAGCCTGTCTTTAAAACATTATTGTAACTCGTACTTCTGACATTTAGTTACATAAGCCTACGTTACTCAGTAGCTTGCATTAGACTAAGCCTATAGTTATGAAGATATACATATGAATCTGCATGTCATATTTGCCAAGTTGGCATAAGTTCCACAGTTATGGTTACCATAATAGGCCTACTTCTAGTTGTGTGAAAATAGGTTTGTGGCCTATTCTTATTTATTATTAGTCTTGTGAACTAGAAAAGTACCACAATACAAATAGTTTAAATAAATTGACTGGGTGAATTAAGTTCATGCAAGCCGTGAAACAATTGAATATTGTGGAAGAATTGTTCGAATATCGGTCATTATCGCCTTTATCAGCAACCTTAGATGTTTCGTTGCAGACAACATTGGTTAAAAAAAATCAGCCTGTCTGATAAACATTCTGTAATGAACAATTAATTTAAATACAGTAGGTCCATTGTATTTGGTGCGGTACCGGTGCATCCAAATAATGGGTTATCAGTCGCGACTTCAGGAAGGGGAAAAGCCGACTCGACTACCCCCAGACCCCCTTAATTTTTCAAAGTTATAAATAAAATTAGGTCTGAGAGTGCCATTTCAGGCCATTTAGAGGTGCCATAATCAAACATTTTCTTATCTCAGCCCCAACCATGGTGGGGCTGAGATCGTGTAGACTCTCCATCTGTCAAAGTCCCCTGGCTCCCCCCGTCAATTTCGAATTTCTGGATCCGCCACTGGATATACACTTTTTTTCAAAAACCACTAAAATTTTGCTCAGACTCAGTGTTCTTGATTTTTGGCCGATTTCAAGCTCAAAATATATTTTGTTCTGATTTTTACACAGTTTTCAAACATACAAATTATTATTGTACACTTATACACTGTACTGGAATGTAGGTAAAAGTGGCCCTGGAAAAAGTACACCTATCGTAGGCCTCTGTTTTGCATAGTCGCACCTAAACATAGGGTACAGATATTTGTTTTTCTAGTTTTTTAAAATAAAAATCTCATTTGACATTTTACCTCAGCCTCAATTTGTTCTTATTTTGTTCTTAATTTTTATGCAAATTCAGCCTCAGTGTTCTTATAAAATGTGTTCTTATAAAAAAAAAAAAGTGTACAGGTATACTTGGTATCGAATAAGATCACCAATGTATTGGCTATAGCGGTCGCTAACTAGACTACGGTTCATGATGTAATAAAAATAATTAGGCATGATGTAATAAAAATAATTAGGCATTATAAACCAGGGTTTTAGTGTTTTGCGTGTTCTCTTGATGTAGAAGGTACTTTTGATGCTATTCCTCATTATAACGTATTTTTGGAAACCTAACTGTTAATGTTTTCTCAATCTATTTTTACAGATTTGTTAAAATGTAGGACTATAAAAGTAGTTAGATTTAGACAGCGCTAGGTTGGACTTGGATAGGTACCAGATATACCATTGATATCCCCAATGAGGTACTGTACCTCCTTGAATAAATCAGTGACACGCTTGGTGATCCGTTTAATTGTATTGGTCGACTCCGCTGGTAAATGGAACAATCCACTTCCATCCCATCCCATTCCATTCCCGTTTCACTCTCAATTCGGAACAGAAGCCATCTGTCCTTCTTGGATGTGTTACTAATCCATCATGCTTCCTATATTCCTGCTGGTGTTGCTTATTTCGAGGTAAGTATTTTCTTCAACAAACTTCAAACTTGGGTGCTTATATATTTTTTTAAAGCTTTTGGGTTGAAACTCCCAAAAGGCCCACTATAGTACATGTTTATAGAGTTCATAAAATACCTCAAATTGATGTGTTCACTCAGGGAGGTGATATTTAAACTGTTAGTGTAGCAACCTGGCACCCAACACTCGTTGTCTATAGTACTACTACTAGTAGTACTAGCTTGTACTAGTAGTACTAGCTTTGCTTGGACTTACTACATCTGGCAAGCGTAAAACTCATCTTTTGAATGTTAATGTTGTTCTATAATGATATTATGAAAATATATGAATTCGTGACTACATTTCGTGACATCAATATTTTTAAAAAATTACACTTTATTCGTTATTTCCATCCCTTACGTAATTTTCGTATTGTGAGTATTTTTTTACAGACAGAAGGCATATTTCTCATGACTCATGTGTTTGGTATGAATGGCCTACTTGATAAACATAATTTTTTTTAAAGTGATGACATAAAGAAATAGATATATTTCTTAAACAATTCAAGTTAGAAAATATTATTCCTTTGTGTGGTTTACTAACTATATTGAACAGCTTACTCATCTATCTACCCATGATTTACGAAACCCCATGTTGTTAAATTTTATTGACCTGACCAGTAACTGTGCCAGTCTGCTTGGCCTTTGGAAGAAATGTTACACCCACTTACAATTACACATGTTCTGTCCAACATGTGTTCCCATTATCGCAGTTTCATGTTACCCTTGATTGAGCCGTATGAAAAGATAAGGATAATAGAATACTGTACTGTAGTTTCTTCCGTTCCTTCACAGGAAGGTTACGTTCAAGTACAGTACAGTATTTTTAAAAATCAATATTATAAAAATACTGGTTCATCAATAAAAGACCCACTGCACGTGACAAAAAAAATGTTGGGAAACCTCTAACTAAAATGAAATAACCATTGTTCAATTGCTCATAAAAATTAAAAGACAAAAAATGTCAGCTTCCATTCCATTTAACGAGCAGAAACAAATATGAAAAAAATAACATCAATATAAAAATCCTTTAATTGTGTACCAACCAAATATATTACGGGTCTATAAACATTTGTTTGAACGTTTGCATGGCGAAGTAATAATATATGCTTGTGGTACACTACGTAGATAGTTCTCAAAAAGAACTGTTGTTGTTGGTTGAGAAAATCTCGACGTTTTGGTTGTGTTGTTTCAATCGTCTTCATGAGAATAGTATCGGTAGAAATCCCAAAACAGTGAAATACTTATAGGCCTATTTAAGGTCTAACATTTCAATCAAAATTTATGCGTGTTTTTTAATTGACGAGGAAAATATTATTTTTGTTCGTTTTTTAATTGGAAAGCTATTAACATATGTTCAAAGTTAAGCAATTCAAATAAGAATTGGATTTTTGTTTTCATTGATATTGCTTATAACAGACATTTAGACCCTATTAAAACACTGTCGTTAATTTTTGTACAGACGACAAAACAGATAACTATATTATTAAGTTACAACAGAGGTACATATATTATTTATTAATAAGGTATTTAATATCTATGTGACTACGTAAATGTAAATCTAAATTCAAGGCATTAGATATTTTACTTTTGAAGCGGTGTTTTGAGAGGAATCCACCCATTCGACAAGCTCCCGTCCCGTCGAACGAGGTCATCAATGGAACGTCGAGAATGTGATATTATATTTCTCTTTGCCATTGGCCACGAGAGTTTATTTAAACTTATTAACCTAGGTTATTCAAGTGGGAAACATTTTACGCTTTGGATTGATAAAACTTTCGCCAGCTATGAAACTAATATACGAGAAACAAGTTATTGTATGTGTTGGCTTTTTTTTTTAAAATAAAAGAACAATGATACTGTAGATAAGAAAATTTAATAGATTCTGTTTATCTCTGTGAGTTCCGACAAAAGGAAAGAGAAATTAATAAACCTTTATGAATTAATGAAATCGTCATTATGTCATTAGCGACCGTGCTTCTAATACCGTATTTATTTGAATAAACACCCCCGGGGCGTTTATTGTTGAGAAGGGTTTTTATAGTGGGGCGTTTATTCGGGGAAGGCGTTTATTTATTTTGATGTAAAATTGATACGTATATAAAATAAACGCCCCTTAATTTCACTGTAAATGAGGAACTACAGCACAGAGACTTAATGATCCCAACCAGGTTAGAAAAAAATGTAATTCTGCTGGAGTAGAACATTAATAGAATGTGTTGAGAATGATGTTCTTGGTCATTTAATGTTTTGTCCACAGTCACTTATGGGTGTGTTTATGCGATGAAAAAATAAACGCCCCGCCCGGTGCGTTTTTGAGGGAGGCGTTCATTCCAAATGAGATGGAGGGGAGTTTATTCGAATAAATACGGTACACTTTTTTTTTTTTATAAAAACACATTTTATAAGAACACTGAGGCTGAAATTGCTTAAAAATTAAGAACAAATTGAGGATGAGGTAAAATGTCAAATGAGGTTTCTGAAAAACCAAAAAATATCTGTACCTTATGTGCAGTAATGTAGGTGTGACTATGTAATACCCCCTATAATCAGGTGTACTGTCATTTGGGGCCATTTTTACCAGGCCTTTTTTCTGGGGCAATTTTTTTTTGCTGTACAATAATAATTTTCTATGTTTGAAAAGTGTGTAAAATAAGAACAAATTAAGAACATTTTGAGCCTGAAATCGGCCAAAAAATAAGAACACTGAGCCTGGGCAAAATTTTACTGGTTCTTATAAAAAAAAAATAATCGTCAATAAATTCGTCATCATCGTTCGTCGTTGTAGTCTTTTATTATTTTCATGTTGTATGTCGAAACAAATCATACCGTACTGTATGCATGTAGGGATATGTACGGATAGGCCTATTTATAACGCATAAAGGAATTGAATTGCATTTTCCATGATAAGTTTTTCCCATGTCGCCTTGATGACTTTACAAAGGTAAAATTCTCTGGTTTCCGATACTTCACTATGCCAGAAAGTCATGACATGATGAGGCTATCAGTTCTATTAATATAATGCTATAAGTAACAATATCCTTAATCCATGCTTGAGCACTCGGAGTTGTAATATGATCCATGACCTTGGTAAGTACCTTAAGGGATTTAGATAGCATTATTGATAATCGATCTATGTTATATAATAATGCTTCAAATAAGTTTTAAGTGGATAATAAGGGTTTAGAAAAACATATAAGGTCTTATAATAGATACAGGGAACAGGCGTCAACATCCTTTTAATGTGTTTAGAACGTCCTGTTCCGTGTTAAAAAAGTTTGGATTGTCCATTGAACACTAACAATATAGAACATCATGGTACTGTATCCCAGATTTTACATTTTGATCAGCAAATATGATTTAATGTTCGTAATAATAGAACTATATATAAAATGAGAACAAAACTGTATTTTTATTTTTTATTTTTTTACGAGCTTTCGCTAATTCTAGACCCTCACCTACACTATGCAACTCGACCACTGGGCCTGACCCCCTGTAAGAGGCCTGGGCCACTGGTGACAAAATTCTCAGACTGGCTATCCACAACTCACCTTTTATATCGACCAGGCAGGGGATTCACAGGCTGCCCCTACACAGCAGTTGCGTGTCCAGCATTTATTCAACCCCGGAGTTCAGGGTCGTCGCTCTCATTGGCCCTGACTGTACTTAGAACGTATGTTTTGACCATGGAGTACATGGACGTATAATTAGTTCGTGATTAGTTAACAGGTAGTTGAACTCAATAAATGTGCGAAGGTGTAAAATTACTATTGGTTTGGTTTCCATGAAGATAAGTAATATCCCATGCTTTGACTTGTTCATGGTAGTTGTGCCATGGTTGTGGTAGTAGTAGTACCATCTGCTCAATGGTAGTACTGTACCACATTATCCTTAGGCCTGGACTATACCTAACCCTTATTATTTAAGGCGCAGAAATGACAATAGACCTGTTACTATTAATGAAAGGGCATAATTGAATATAAATTTCAGATTAGGCCAAAAAATACAGTACTTGCTTAGCGTCACCGCCCGACCCTGATTTTCTAGCCGCCTATTTATTTATTTTTTTTGTAAAAAAAAGTGATGAAAATGCCGAGAATAGACGAAAAACGATCGTATTTTTCATCTTCAGCACAGGAAACAAGTAGAGATAGGAACTCTGAAACAAGATGTGTAGTGCGCCACCAACATTACAAGTGTATTTTTTCCTGCACATAAGTTGCGTAGTAATTGGCTTACTACCTTAGACCATCCTTTGACCTAGCAATAGGCTGAAGCTACCTGCAGAAAAGAAATTGATTCCTCACATATAATATATATAAAGTAATAATAATAATAATAATAATAATAATAATAATAATAATAATAATAATAATAATAATAATAATATCGGTAGTATAGTAGGCGTACATGTTTTTTATTTGGTTCTTTTTAGATAATAAACAATGTTTTAAGTATGGTAATAATAATGTACGGTAATATGTAGACAAATAATAGGTTAAGGCAATAGTTTGTTAATGCTGAGCCAATCAGATACCTTTACAAGTTCATGGTTTATATTAGTTAACAGTTGATCAATATTATCTCCTGATAGGAAAAAAGTCGTATCATCAGCGAAAGACACCGTTTTAAGTACATTACTAACCAAATGAATGTCGTTAACATAAATTAGAAACCTCTAGGCAGTTAGCCTACGGATCCCCAATGCGTATTAAAAAATCTTTTGTGTAAAATTTAGTGTCTGTTATGGCCTTTGTCAAAGATTTGGCTTGGCACCAATGCAGTTTTTGAAATCTCTAGGCCTAAGTAAGAAGCCTACATAGTAGGTCCTAGCTAGGCCTACCGCCTAGACAGGCTAGGCCTAGGCCAGCAAAAAAAGAATCTGGCCCCTCCCCCCTGAAAATTTCCAAGCTATAATCAATTTTTTTTTTGGCCTACTTAATGATTTTTACTCATTTTATG